CTGCCACGCCCAGCAGCACCAGCAGCAGCAGCAGGAGAGCCAGCAGCAGCAGTGGCAGCAGCAGGAGAGCCAGCAGCAGCAGCAGCAGCACAGCAAGCGTCACACAGATATTGCAAACAAGCAAACCAGCAAAGAACTGATTAACAGGCAAACGCGAGAAGCAGCAAAAAGAGAAATATATATTCATCATTATTTTTTTATTTGTATACTTATTTATTTATTATTTATTTACTTATTTATTTACTTATTTATTTATTTATTTTTTGATTCTTTTGCAAATTTGCACTTCTGTTGCTAATTTTTTCGTGTTTCTGCAATTGCAAGTCCGCTGGGTGGCCGATGCTTGCAAAAGAAGTCATTTGTTTGAATAAATTGGATAAAAATGAATAATTTAATTAATTTCTAATTTATTTATTCTTTTATTTCCTAAAAAGATCACCCAGAAGTCGAGAAACCCTCGCCTCGAGGAACTTGAACAGGTCTTGGGCGTGGCCGCAGGCCAGGTCAAGAACGCGGGCGCCGCTCTTGACTTGCATTTTGATCAGGATTCGTTTGGCCTGCAGACAAACAAACAAACAAACAAATAAATAAATAAATAAATAAATAAATTAAATAAATAAATAAATTAATTAATTAATTCATTGCAATTAATAAATCAAATGAGGCTCCGAAGAGCTCCTTTGCGCGGCGGCGGAGCGAAAACGGCAAGAAGAGCTGCGGCTGCCTGCGGCGGAGCCGCTCCGCAGCTAGGGTTTAGGGTTTAGGGCTTAGGGTTTAGGGTTTAGGGTTTAGGGTTTGGGGGGCAGCACTTGGTTGTTGTGCAGCCGGAGAGCAGCAATTGGGGACTCTGCTGCTGCTTTGACAATTCTGTTTTCATAGAAAGACTGAACAGCAGCTTGGGGGTCCCCCAGGGCCCCCGGATAGTAAAGAGCAGGTCCTGCTGCTGCTGCTCCTGCTGCTGCTCCTGCTGCTGCTGCTGCTGCTTCGAGGGGCTCGGCCACTGCGACCTGGAGGTTGTGGAGGAAGAGCGCGACGAGGGCGTCGAAGGCCGCTGGCTGCTGCAGCAGCAGCTGCTGCTGCTGCTGCTGCTGCTGCTTCCGCCGCTGCAGCAGCAAACACTCTGCAGGCGCGTACAGCCGCACCAGCAGCCGCCGCGTCTCGTCGCTCAAGTCCACATCAGCTCCTCTCCCGCTGCTGCTTGCTGCTGCTCTTTGCTGCAGCTGCTGCAGCAGCAACTCGGGGTGGCTTTCTGTGTCTCCTTCATCGGCTTCGCACCGCAGCTCCAGCACCCACTCCGGCAGCACCAGCCGCTGCCGGTGCTGGCTCCT